TTTCTGCAGAATTTACATTCCTCCTGTGTTTGGTTTATTTTCGTTGGGTTTAGGACGTTTGGTCCTTTGATGTGGACACTTCTCCTTCTTACTTGTAGGATTTCGCTTTGCACAAAGTTAGATTCTTCGTCATTTTTTATTACCCTTTTTTGTTTCTGACTTGCAATTATGTGAGGTTTCTGCTTTGCTCAGTTATGAGGAGGTTACCTGCGGTCCTCCCCTTTGGTACAACTGCTCATATCCAACATACATTCTCATTAATCTGCATCAGTTATTATTCTTGCCAGATGGATCTGATGGCTCCTGTCCCTGGCATTGACTCTTCTTTCGGCACTTACTCCGTTTTCTGGGCAGCGTCCTCTTCCGCTTATTTGTCCGGCCCTTTGCTTACTGATATCTTACATTCGGTGGACTGGTGTAGGGAGGACACGTTTCTGACCTATTTCTGTTTCTCTTCTAATGACACATTTTCTCGCATTTTCCCTCCCTTTCCCTTACACGTCTTTTGTTCTACTCTGTGTGTTCTCATGTTACTTATTACATTTATGATGGTAATGTTTTGGTATAGCTTGCTAGTTTTATTCACTCATTCTTTTTCCATACTTCATGATCTTATGTTTGCGAGTTATTGTTTAGATAATTGCTGTTATCTTTAGTTTGGATTAATTAGTTGTTTCTAAGTTATTTCATTGTTGCACATGTCTATTACCATGTGACTTAGCCTGTTCAATTTTTTTTTTCTGTTCAATTTGCTTCTGCTGTTCTGATCTGGTTGTTGGCGTCCTCGTTCAATTGGGCACTGATTCCGGGAGTTAAGTTATCCTGTTTCTTCTTTGTTTTCTATGTTATGCCTTTGTTTGTCACATAAGGAAAGAGGAGGTGCTTAGGATCATCCTGCCTTATACACACATTACTTATTTTGTTTATTGGTTCTTTTTTTCTATATATTTATTTTTGCTCTTATGAAGCTAAGTAAAGAAAGATACACAAAATATTCACCTCCTGCCATTACTAAAATTAAGATTATATATCCACTAAAGCTAGCATATTCTTCAATTATAAGAGCAAATACTGAAATGCAAGACAAACTATTTTCCTCCCTTGTACAGTTAAAAAAAATAATTATAAATCACTCTTCAAATTACAATGATTTACTATTTATTAAATAGCATCAGATTTTATTTATTTTGACAGTTTATGGAATACATTGTAATGTGTTCACTGTGAGTTTGAATAGTAAAACACAAGATGGCAGTAGTGACTTATGTTTCATTAAAAATACACATTAAGGGAACAGTACACACTCAAAAATACAGTGTTAATTCTTACAAGGCTACTTGAAGCTATATATCTTAGCCAATAAATTGGGATTTAGTCACACCATATGGCTATAGCATATTAATCTCACCACTGCATTAAACTACCCAATATCAGTCAGTACATTAATGATAAAAATGTTAACTACAATACTTACTGCTTAAACTGTATCTAGAAAATCTGCTCAAATGTATGCTTTCCTGTGATCACTTTCAAAGGTGCACCTGAAGTGAAGGGGCAGTGGACTCTACCCTAAAGGAGTCTGATTAGGAATCCAAATATACATACAACAAAGACAATGGGGAAGTATACCCGGAACATATGTTTCTTAACCCCTTAAGGATACATGATGGAAATTTTCTGTCCTGCTGGCCTTTTATTTTTGAAACTGTGTCATAGTTATATAGCCGAAAAGAGACATGTGTCCATCAGGTTCAGCCTTTTATGCGTCCTTAGGGGATTAATCGTACTACTGTTGTAAAGACAAAAACATTTACAAAACACATGTTAAGGGAATTGTACACAAATAAAACCACCGTTTTAAATCTTTCAAGGCTACTTACAATCTTACAAGGCTACTTTAAGGGATTCTATAGTGTAAGAAATAGAAATCTGTAATCCTTTCACTAAACAGCCCTCTGGTATTCCCCTGGTAACCTTCAGTTACTTACCCGATAACAGTGCTGATGTCCCTCGGCACTGGGTCAGCGCTTCACCTTTATCATGAAGTTATCATATAAAGGGGGGGGAGGGGGGAGGGGAGGGAAGGGCTAATGCACATGTGCTTTCCTATGGAGGTTTTACTAGCGCTATAAGTTAGGTGTCATAAAGTCGGTTAGCAAGCAGTAAGTGGCTGTGTGATTGAAAGCCACTAGAGGCAGCCTTAGTCCTGCAATGTAATTATTGCAGTTTCTCAAAAACTGCAATGATTTACATTGCAGGACTAAGTGGGACCTTAAGTGGGATGATTCCAGACACTTAAAGCACTTAAGTGTCCTCATTTTACACAATTTTACTCAAGTTGCAGGCGATTGCCCAGAGAACCTGTCTTGCAAAGACTTTTCCATGAGCTGCTTTGGGAAGTCTGTGATTAGACTGCCACAAAAAGTCTAAGCTGGGAAAAAAATGCAAGGGCTTGTTAACATGGAGGGAAAAAAAGGGACAAAAAAACTGTTTTCAGATATATTCCAATGAAAAAAATGCAGCAACAAATACATGCATTAGGGGTATAATGCAAAATTGTTGAATATATTTTACAATTTAAATCACCTTAACCTGGATACTTTCTCCTTAACCCCTTCAGGACGGGTGACGGACGAGGTCCGTCACAGAAGGGAGACCCTTAATGACGAGTGACGGACCTCGTCTGTCACGCGGTAAAATTAACCCCGGATCGCCGCTATCGCGGCGATCGCGGCGATCGCGGGGTTAATGGTGCTCCGGTATGCCTCTGCATTAGAGGCATACCGGGAGCACCCGGTTAGGCTGCCCAGCACATGTGCTCACTCTGACCGCAAGTCAGAGCGAGCACATGTGCTCTGTATACTTACCTTCCGGCTCCCTGCACTTCCTGTTTCTGTGTGAAGTGCAGGTAGCCGGAACAGTGCTGATCCTGCCCCCTGCTGTTAAAAAAATAAAGTTAATTTAAAGTCCCCCCCCCTTTACCCATTTTAATAAAAAATTAACCCCTTCCCTGCCAATCGATCACTGACTACAGTGATCAATTGGCAGGGATTACATTTTACTATGATCTGATTTTTTTTTAACCCCTGAGGGTTAATTCTTTTTTTTTTTAACCCTCAGGGGTTAAATTTATTTAATTAATTAAAATATTTTAAAATTATATATTTAGCTAGCTGGGGTGGGTGGAAGTTAGTGGGGAATTGAGGGATTTGGCGTTAGGCTAACTAGGGGTTAACGTTAAAAAAAGTTTTAAAATAAACTTTAAAAAGTTAAAAATTAAGCTTAAAAAAATGTTTTAATAACGTTTATGTAAAAAAATAAAAAAAAACCCTTTACCTAGTCCAAATAAAAATTAACCCCTTCCCTGCCAATCGATCACTGCCTACAGCGATCAAATAGAGATCACAGTATCATACTGTGATCTAATTTTTTTTAACCCCTGAGGTTTAACTTTTATTTATTTTTTTAACCTTCAGGGGTTCAATTTATTTAATTAATTAATTTAAATATTTTATAACTATATATTTTGCTAGCTGGGCTGGGTGGGAGTTATGGGAAAATGGGGAATTTACTGTTAGTGCTGCGTACTGCTAGTTAGGGGTTAACGGTAAAAAAAAAAGCTTAGAAAAATGTTAAATCTGTAAAAAAGTTTTAAGAAAGTTTAGGAAAGTTTAAAAAAAATTTATAAGCAAAACAAAAGTTTAAAAACTAGTTTTTAAAAGTAAAAAAGTTATAAAAAGTAAAAAAATACATTTTAAAAACGCTCATTACCACTACACCTGGAACAAACTAGAGAAAAAATTATCCCACGCCAAGGTTCAAAATATGCCTTTTGAATTACCCCAGGGTGTATTCTTTAATAAATAGTATGTGTTTGTGGGGAAGTTTCAATAACCAACCGTCTAAACTACTCCAAATTGGAACATGGACACAGCGTAAAACTTCAAAGTTAGAAAAAAACTGAATGGCTGCGTCTCAAATGCGCCCCTTCAACATCCACATATGCCTGGCAAAGGTACATACGGGGGTATTGCTGTACTCAGCCGACATAGCTGAGCAACATATGAAGTATTATACAGTCGTAGCACACATAAGGTTTGCAAAATATACTGTGCAAACTCACTTTGTATGTCAAAAGGCAGAAAAAACGCTTATTACCACTACATCTGGTACAAGCTAGCGGAAAAATGATCCCACACTAAGGTTCAAAATATACCTTTTGAAACACCCTGGGGTGTCTACTTTAAGAAATGGTAGGCCTTTGTGGGGTAGTTTGAATTTAAAACCTGCGAAGATGCTTGGAAATTGCACATAGGCCCAGCGTCAAAATTCTAAGTTTGGTAAAAACAGATATGGCTTGCTCTCCTGTATGGCACTGTAGCTTCACGAAATAGTGCCAAAGACATTCATTGGGGGTGTCTTTTTACTCAGAAGACTTAGCTGAGCATAATTTGGGAGGTTTGAACTTAGTGGCACATATGAAATTTACAAAACGCCCAGCAAAAATGCAATCCGTATGTAAAAAATGCACAAAATAATTTTTTACCACATACTTTGGCATATATTGGTGAAAAAATGGGGGTCTGTTAAGGCACAATATGCACCTCATGAGATACCCTGGAGTGTCTACTTTTACAAATGGTAAGCCTTTGTGGGGTTTTTTTGAACAGTCAAACTGTTATAATACCCCAAATGGAAGCTAAGGCACATTAAATCCATCTCTCAAAATTCTACTGTGAATACTGAAAAGGACAGTTATCCTGTATGGCACTGTAACTTCACGAAATAGTGCCAAAGACATACAATGGGGGTGTCATTT